AATTCTATTAAAATTAAACTGCGGGAGTAGTTAGCATGGAATGATATAAATTATATTTTTTCGATATAAAGAAGAGTCAACCTCAAGCATCTTATACACTGCCTTCTATATATGTACCAAGAAAATGATTCCGCTCAAGTAGCATCTTAATCAAACATAAGATCAAAAGGATAAGAAAAGAATATTATTTCCTTGATTTGCTTTATAAACATCAATTAAAAGCAGATTCTTTTTTTTTTTTTTTTAATTTTTTTAGCACCCATGATAGTGGAGCAAGGAAAGAGAGACTAGTACTCTACTCACTGTGTCTGCCTGTCTGGTGGGTATTAGCCCGTTTCGAACCTTACCTCCCCTTTAAGACAGATAAAGATATTACTTTTAGTCTCATTCCCTTCGAAAATTCTTCGGATTTTTGCCTACCACCCAACCTGGAATATATTATAACTTCAAGATGAAATGTTAATTTTGATCTTTTAATTTTAATGTTTTATTTAATTTTTGTTTTTTTATTTTTTTATGTATTTTTTTATCTCTTAATTTAAAAAAATATATTTTTTAATCTTTTTATTAGTAAATCTATCTAAATATGTATATTGTTAATTCTTTAACTAATAATATATACATATTTTTTATCTCTTAACATTTTAAAAATGTGTTTATTTATATAAATTTAATAGATTAACTAATAAAAACACTAAAAAAATACATTAAAAAGTTAAGAGATGAAAATTACGAAAAATTATAAAATTGAGAAACTAAAATTGACATTTAACCTATCTTTCATTAGCGTAACAAAATTCTTCTCTTTTAGATAAAGAACAAAATACATTAGATATAAATCGAAAAAGGTAAGTGTAAATTTATTTTGAAAGATCTGCCAAAAAAATTAAACTCATTTTATAATTAATATTTTTGAAAGTAAATTTGGGTTTTCTTAATATATTTTTTTATCCCATAATAACTTTTGTTTTTTTTTTTTTTTTTAAATAATTTTTTTTCTTACTTTAACTCTATCATCTAATTATATAAAATCTTTCTTCTCGTCTTTTTTTTTTTAAGGGTTTCCAAATCCTTAATTTAGGAAAAAAGAAGTAAAAAATTAATAATTATTTTGAGACAGAAGAAATAAATTATACATTTTAAATTTTAAATTTATTTAATATTTATAACATTCTTAATTAAAAAAAAGCTCTATTTATTAATACATATTTAATGATATTAAATTTTATGTAATTAACAAACTGATTAGACTTACTAGATTAATTTGAAAATTAACATGCAAATTTACATTAATAGAATCTTCAATTGAATGGTTGTTTTTTTAAAATCTTATTGTATTATAAATATTGTTAAAATTTTTAATAAATCTCAAACAAATATTCAATGAACCTTTAAAAAATCCTTAAAAAGTCTCCCCTAGATTCTTTTAAAAAACTTATAAGATCTCAAACAAATACCCAATATTCCTATGTTAAGAGTTTGAAACCTGCCTAAAACTTAAGAATCTAATATTAGCCCACCACACCTTCACTGTAATTATATAATTAAAATAGTAATCAATATTACCCGACTTAGGAATCTATTCCAATCTAAATACTAATAAAATACACCAAATTTAGTTAGTTTTTTCTTCTTTTTTCTTTCCTTTTTTTTTTTTTTTATTAACAACGTATTTAGTTAGGTTGGAATAGAACATCATCAAGACTCCAACCTTGACACGTTAGAAATAAAACAAAGGTGGTATTCTCCAACCACAAGGATAAAAGCAAGTTATGGTACTCCGCATTTAGTTTTAATTCAAATCTTATGTTATCTTAGTATCTTATCTTAGCGAGTGTATACATATATATTATAAAAATTATTAATTCTTCAATAAATCATGAATAAATATTAAATAAGCTTTTTAAAATTCTCAATAATTCTTTACTAAATCTTCAATAGACACTTGAAAGAATAAACAATAATTAATTCACATTTTAATTTAATACATTACACAATACATTAATTAAAAAAATTGTTTATCCATACTCTGTTAAAAAATTAAACATGACAAAATTTGTAGGATGAAACGATTGCATGCATTTGGAATTGCTGTATAACATATTTAGCTATATACGCCTTTCTTGTACATATTATTGCTATTGCAATATTTATGTTAATATTTGATAATTATTTTTAAAAAAT